CGAAGCCCTCGTTCTTGAGCTTGATGAGCAGGTTGAGCATGTCCGCCCGCTCGACGCCGTTGCGCTCGCGGTGCGTCACCATCTCGTCGACGATGTTGATGAAGAAGCTGTTGACGTCGTCGGGCAGGGCGCGGATGCGGAACAGCCTCATGATGGTGTTGTCGAAGAAGGTGAGGAGGGCGCGGATGTTGACGTCGAAGCAGGGGTCGAAGATGCGCTGGCCCATGCGCCGGAACTCGGACTCGGGGTTCTTCATGGAGTTGGACTCGATGCCGAACGCGACGGAGGAGATGATGTCCGTGGTGAAGCGCGCCACCAGCTCACGCACGTCCTCCTGGTAGAGACCGCCTCCGGCCTGCAGACGCAACGTGATTTCGACGTCGATGTATCAAACGACATATGCATGTGACCGTGACCTAGTCGCGACGTTTCATTATTCGCATTTATGTCCGTCATTGTAAGCGACCCCGACCTCTAAAGTGTTCAGCTGGCAAACGCGTAGGTGCTTGACTGGATATTTGAGCACTCTAAAAGAGTTGGACTGAGAGGTTCAACACTTTTCGAGGTTATTCAAATTTACAGATTATACAACTGTGTGACAAGGTGTTGGAGACTTGCAAGTGCTTTTGCCATTTGAACACCGGTAACTAGAGAACGCGTCGTACCTTGAGGGAGGAGTCCACGTGCTCGCGCAGGTGGCCCGCGCACTCGCTGATGGTGTTGAACATGTACTTGATCTTGCCCGTCGTGAAGGTCGGGCTAAGCTTGACGCGCATGTTCCTCCAGGGCTTCCCCGACAGCATGAAGAGGTGCCCGGTGAGAGGGTCGTAGTCGTGGTCCGAGTACATGCCGCGCCCGTTGAAGTCCTGCGGGCAAAGAGACTCATTTTCAGAGGGAAATTCTCATTTGAAAACTTAACTTAACTTTTCTGTTGAGCTACGGTCGCGGACTGACGACCTTGTTGAAGTTGAAGTGACGTCACTGTCGCCGCACCTGGAACTCCTTGGTGAAGACCTGGCGGATGATCTCCGGGTCGTGCAGGTGGAGCAGCGGCGTGGCGGAGAAGTACGTGCCGATGTAGCGCTCGTCGCGGTGCCGGCGGTAGACGTCGTCGGCGACCTGGAACAGGCTCTTCCTGCCCAGGATGCTGTCGGCGAAGTTGCCCCACGGCATGACGGCCGGCACGACGGGGACCTTGCGGCGCTGCCAGTAGCCCATGCTGTGGCGCAGGTAGGCGTACAGCGCGGCCACCAGCGCCAGCGCGCCCCCGCACACCACGACCACCAGCATGACCAGCATGGCCGCTGCAAAGGGGGCCGGAATCATAATACCAGGGAAACATTTAGCAGCACTAGGAAAAAACATTAGCAAGACCAGAAAAACGTTTTGCAACCCTAATAAATTTCGTGATAAGTTATTTCAGCACAAAACCCCGAGTAGTTACACACAAAAATTTCAAGTTAAAACAACCTTGTAATGCTGTGTGCTGCATCCCAACTAACCTGGGTGTTTTGCTGTGGTGTGGTCGCCTTTGTAGAGGAGCTCGCACTAGCAGAGAGGCGGTCGCGGACCGGGCGCCCAACAGTCCTGCAGGCGAGTGGGTCTCGAACGGCAGTCCGCTGCCCTGCCCGAAGGAGTTCTGCACAAGTTCTCGGTCCCCGACCCGAACCGATTGGCATGCCAGCTCGCCCCCCCCC